AGACACACTGCTATGAACCCACTTGTGTGTGTTGGGTGCCTTCAATTCGTTTCTGAGTTGCGCTGACCCTAAAGCAAAACTATCATGGGTTGGTTTTCAGAATTTTATTAATATGTTATATTCTATTATTACATCTTCTAGCAATATAGCAATACAGCATAGCATTTCCATTTACATGATAATTCAACCTGTACTTTGTACATGCATTGACTTAATCTGGGTAAGCTCCCAAGCTTCCTCTTACTTAGTCAATTCTTAGTGAAATATTCAGATTGTTGAAATAAATACCACAAAATCCAAAGAAATGCAGAAAAGTCTAGGAGCTGTGAATCCAGAGACATGACTTGATTTGGTATCATCACGCATCCTCAACTTTTGTTCTATCCTGAAATATATTGTTCTCATCTATTACAGTTCAAAAATGAAAGGACAAGGACGAGAAGGAATCCGTATTTCATTTCGACTACTCTACTGCATGAGCCTTACCTGTAATGGCTGCCAAAATTACAAATATCTTCAACATGGTTGCCTCCGTGTTCGTGCGCCCGAGAGAAAGCGACTCGGAAGACGCGGTTGCGTGAAAAGGCAAATCCCAAATGAGGTTTCAAAAAAACATGGCTGTTGTTTCACTTATCAAGAGAGCATGAGCAAGTCAACAGAGCCTTTTTTTCCCCTTGCAAATTTTATCAGATGCCTATGACTGTTCTCAGGGAAGCTGTGTGATTTGTTCGGTCAAAAATCCTTTCACGGGGTGTGTCCTGTTGAAATATTCGCTAATAATAAACCCAATAATTCGGCAGTGTAGACGGGGCAAGATTGTACCACCATTATTCACACTGAGAAAATGGGTTTTTGTTATTACTGTTCCTGTAATTCATATTTCACTTGAAGTGCAAACTTCCAATGGAAGATTTACACACATCCCAACAGGTCTGTATATGTCCCAAGACTACATAGACTTTATCTTTTATGGACGCCAAAAGTTGTGAGGGTCTGTCTGGCATAGCGGTTTGAATGTAGGACTAAAGGTTCATCTGCACTGTAGAAATAATCCAGTTTGACACACTTTAACTGCTCTGGCTTCATCCTACAGAATCCTGGGGTTCATAATTTTATGAGGTGCCAGTCCACTTTGGCAGAGGTGGCTAAAGACCTTGTAAAACTACAAATCTCAGGATTCCATAGCATGGAGCTGCAGCACTTAAACGGTGTCAAAGTGTGTCATTTCTACAGTGTAGATGCACCCTAGGACTCTTGGAGGCCCGGGTTCAAATCCCCACTTGGTCACAGAAACCCACTGGTTGACGTGAAGTTGTATGAGTAAGATGCCAGCCACAGATGCTGGCGAAACGTCAGAAAGAAACTCTTCTAGAACATGGCCACACAGCCCCAAAAAACCCCCAAAAACCACTGGTTGACCTTGGGCAAGTCATATTCTCTCAGCCTCACTGGAAAACAATGGCAAACCCTCACTGAAAAAAACCATCTTGCCAAGAAGACCCCATGATAGAGTCACTTTAGGGTCACCATGAGTTGCAAACAATTTGAAGGCACACAGCAACAAATGTTCAGCGTCATCGCCCCATATTTCCTAATTTAATCGCCGTTTAATGAACACAATGCTCTCCAGATGTGCTCTAAGCCATGTGAATAAACAGATTATGGCCAAGATTCTCTAGATCAAGGAGATGCAGCATAAAATCCCTCCAGGCACTCCATTTCTCTGCCCAATCCCTATTGACCAGCTTCATCTCCCCCAATATGTCCACTTTGTACCACTAGTGGGGTATGGGAAGGTGGTAGAAAAGTATCCAATTGTGTTCCTATGATTGTATGCCCAGTGACAAGGAACCCTCGACAGGTCTTTCGGAGGTCCTAGAGGATGCCATCAGTGCTATAGGACCATCGCTGGACACCTTCTCCATCCCTGATTCCCAGCAACCCATCGGTGGCCATAGTGGGGAATCAGGGTGGCCAGACATCCTCCTTTTCCAAGGCGTGTCCTACGTTTCAACCTCCTGTCCAGGAGGAATTCCAAAATGTCCTCCACTTGCTGTTCCCCTTTGAGGAATTTGTCTACATGGCATCCTGTCCTCGATGCAAATTAGGACAGATCTTTCTAAAGTTCTTCCGAGGAGCCACAGCATTAAATGCGCGCCAATTGGAGGGGGCATTATCCTTCAAAAATGGGTTGAGATACCCTGATATGCCCCCATCTCTACCAAAACGATGATGTTTCCCCAAAATAGCTGGTGTCACTACCTTATGGAGGACACTTCCTTAACTCCTTATGCAACTACCGTCATGTCCGGATCATTCTTTTCTGCCTTTCCAACGTTTTACCCCCAACATTTAGTGCTAGCTCTCCATAGGGTTCACAGAGAGCATGCAGCTGGTGGCATGGAAACCCTTATCTTTAGATAGGATGGAAAATGGAAAGGCCCCAGTGCCAGGCACTGTGTGTTAACAGATGGTGTGAGTCAACAGCGAGTCAACAGAAAAACCCAGGGCTCAAGCACCTATACCGAAAGACTGAAGGCAAATACTGTAGGACTTACTCTGTCTTGAGCTCACAGACATTTTCATCTGGGAGAAAGCAATGACTGCCCTTAGCAGCTTCCATTCAAAGCTATGCAAGGAAAGGGACATATGGGGGTTTCGAGGAGGTTTACTGCAATCTTTTTCTGGCATATAATAGAATCATAGCATTGGAAGAGACCCCAAGGGTCATCCAGTCCAACCCACTTCTGCCATGCAGGAATACACAATCAGCATCCCTAACATGACCATCCAGCCTCTGTTTAAAAACTTCCAAAGAAGGAGACTCCACCACTTTCCAAGGCATCTTTCACTGTTGAACAGCTCTTTCTGTGAGGACGTTCTTCCTAATGTTGAGGTGGAATCCCTTTCCCTGTAGTTTGCATCCATTGCTCCATTGCGTCCTATTCTCTGGAGCATCAGAAGACAAGCTTGCTCCATCCTCAACATGACATCCCTTCAACTATTTAAACATGGCTATCATGTCCGCTCTTAACCTTCTCTTCTCCAGGCTAAACATATAGTTCTATATACTCCAGGGGTGTGTCCACACTACATAATTTATAGCACTTTGATGTCACACTACGTGAGTTACAGCACTTTGGTGTTAACTGCCGTTGTTCCATCCAATGGAATAATGGAATTTATAGTTTGGCAAAGAACTTATAATTGTCTGCTGTAGTGCAGTGGAGTGGACTGGATCTCTCGATCAAAGAATTCCAAGTCGCTCTCAAAACTACAGATCCCAATATTTCATGGGAAGGAGCGGCGGCAGCTACAATGCCATCCAACTGCTATAGTTGTGCTTTGTGTGTGGATAAACACCTGATCAGGTGCTTCAAACGGTTCAAAGCATGCCCTATTTGTTTTTGCTCCAAGAGCAGATATGAAACCTAAAACCATGTAGATCATTTTCCCTTGAGGGTGCCTTATGCTATATATTTATTTAAACTCATTTTAGATGGATTTCTTTTTAAAATCTGAGACTGCCCAACTGTAAAAAACTAAAAGAGTCAATAAAATAAAATGAAATTATATCAATACTGCAATAAAACGGCTGATCCCAAAGCGCAAAGAGGGAATACTGAACGCTAAAATTTGGATCGTCCAAGTCATCGTATTCCCTATTATTCCCATGGATGGATGTGAGAGCTGGACAGTGAAGAAAGAGGATAGGAAGAAAATAAATAAATCTGAGTTAATGTGATGCTGGAGAAGAGGGTTGAGGATATTGTGAACAGTCAAGGAGACAAACAAATGCGTCCTTCAACAGATCAAACCAGAAATAACCCTAGAAGCCAAGATGGTGAAACTATTGTACTTTGGTTACATCATGAGAAGGCAGAATTCACTAGAAAAGGCAATAATGCTTGGAAAGGTAAAGGGGAGGAGAAAAGGGGCTGCTTTTAAAATGTCCTAGTTTCTCCCTCCTCCTCCCACCTTCCTCCTTTCTCCTCAGCTTGCAAACCAAGTGCTTATGTTTACAAACCAAGAGATCAAAGCGCAAACCAGATTGCACTCATTTAATTCTGCAGAGAACAGGGTTTTATCCTTCCCAGGAGGCTCAGGCAAAAGCAAACTGCCGTCACCTCTCTGAAGGTGTGTATTTCTCCTCGGGAATGCCTTCCGTCCTCTCAGCCACGGTTTGGCATTGCTGAGGCTATGAATGAAGGGGGAAGACACACCATCATTCCTGGCCTCGGGCAGCAAAATCTCTTGATCCTGAGCTGGCCGTTTGAGGGAAAGGTGTTGCAAGGGTGGATCACTGCAATGGAGAGGTTCGAAATGCCACGAAGGAGAGGACCGAAAGGTCTCCTTCGGTGGCATGGAGAGGCACAGTGGTATCGGAGACCAAAGTAGTTGTAACTTTTTGCTTTGCATGAGTAGGAGTTACAAATGAATGGGCCTTTCAGGCTAGTCTGGGCTGACTCAGAGTCTGCTAACAGGGTGTTTCTGTTGTCTTGGTGGCCTTTCCCCATTTTCCTTCCTATCTTCAGATAAGAGCCACTTTGCGGCAGAGGTATGTATGGGTCATTGTTGGCACACCACTCCGCTGCCAGTGAAAAACCACCCAGGACTGGGAATGTGGCCGCCAAAAGAATAAGGGCAGACAGGAAGGAAAGAAAATCTGGAGCTGAAAAAGGCTCACTGGCTTAAAAAATATAGATCAAATTCCCTTGGAATCTCCCCAAATCCCCCACTCCGTCCTTTTCCAAATGCCAAAAGGATATAAGGCATCCTTTGGGACCTTAGTTGCCTCGTTCCAGAACAGGGATGGAAAAGGGATTTTTTGGAAAGGTTTTTGCAAAAAGGGATTTCTCAAGGACAAGGAAATTCTGAGAGGCGGCATCCTAGACGGAGAGACCCTTTGAAATTCAGGGTTTATTTGGCGCAGAAATGCCATTTTCTGTGCCGAAAGTAACATTTTGTAGGGTTGTTGGTGTTTATTTGCAGTATTGAGAGCCAGTGTGGTGTAGTGGTTTATTCGCTGGACTATGTCTTTGGGGACCAGGGTTCGAATCCCTGCTCAGCCATGGAAGCCCACTCGGTGGCCTTGTGCAAGTCACACTCTCTCAGCCTCAGATGAAGGCAAAGGCTTGTTCAGAGTCAGAAACAACTGAAAGACACACAACGGTAACAAGAAGAAGTGGGTAATGTTTCTTTTATTTACATCTTTCCTCATTACAAATATTCCTTAACTTACCAAGAAACAGAAAGAGAGATGGATGGCGTCAAACAAAATGTCACAGATATATTGTTGCTGTGTGCCTTCAAGGCATTTCTGACTTCTGGAGACCCTAAGGCAACCCTATTTTGGCGAGTTTCTTCAGAGGGGGTTTCCCATTGCCTTCCTCTGAGGCTGAGAGAGTGTGACTTGCCCAAGGTCACCCAGTGGGATTACACGGCCAAGCCATGATTCGAACCCTGGTCTCCAGAGTCCTAGTCCAACACTCAAACCACTACACAACACTGGGTCTCGATGGTAGTCAATATATTAAAAAGAACCACATACACCCAACAGTCCATTTACTGCCTTCTGCTGGAATGCGGAAATGCTGCTTTTTTGGACAATACCTCCCAAAATCCCCCGGCCGACATGATCAGTGGCCACAATGGTTGGAGGATTCTGGGAGGTATAGTCCCCCAAAGTAACCCTTTTCA